CAATTTAAATTTTTTTTTATATATTTTTTATTTTATTTTTTATTACGAGAGTCGTTCGAAAAAAAAAAAAAAAATTTGGCAAAAAAAAAGAAAAACAAACAAACAAACAAATATTTATTTCTTTTGAATTTTGTTTGTTTTCATTGTTTGTCATTGAAAGGTTTGGCTCGTTTTTTTATTATTATCATTATTATTATTATTATTATTAATCCCGGGCGTCTGTCAGACTGCATCGAGGTTGTTGTTTTTTTTTTGTTGAATAATTAATTTTTTGAATTTCGAAAAAAGATAGAAAGATAGAAAGAGAGAGAGGGGGAGAGAGAGGTAAAATCGATAGTTTGAAAAAGTAATAATAATAATAATAATAATAATAATAATAATAATAATAATAATAATAGTCCCTTGTTAAAATGATTGTTATATTGGATTTTTAATTTCCATATATATCACGAAAATCATCATTTCATCACGCCAATTGAATTATTAATTCGTTTTTTTATTTTTTACCCCTTTTCATTTTCAAGGGTGAATTTTCTTGGAAATCCAAGGTTGAGATATTTTGTTGTTGTTGTTGTCGTTGTTTTCGAAAAGAAAAGAAAAAAGTCTCAAATGATTTTTGGGTCATGGATCATAGAATCCGTGAAAATGTGGTCGGTGGTTTTTTTTTTTGTTCTTATTTCAATCATTCGCGAGCTTTCTTTTCGTTTGTTTCAGTGAAAACAAATAAAAACGTTCGTGAAACCTTTTTTTTTTAACTGGAAAGTTTTTATAACGAGCGAAAATTATTTAAAAAAAAAAAAAAAAGTGTTTTCTAGTGAAGTTATTATTATTATTATTATTTAAAAAAAGTTACCGGAAACGGTTTTTGAAGAAAAAGGAAAAAACTTATTGCGAAAAGATCGAAACGCCGACTAAATAGTGAAAATCAAACAAAAAAAATTTTTTTTTTTTTTTCTTTTTTTGGATTCGACGTCATCAAAATAGGCGCATTGAACGGTCAAAAACCGCCATCGTCATGCAGGAAAATTCGGTAAATAAATAAAAAAAAATTTTTTTTAGATTTTCCGGGGGGCGGAGTTTAAAAAATTATTAAACAAACGTCGAGTTGTAATTAATTAACATCACATTGGTTTCCATTATCATCGAAATTATTATTATTATCATCATTATTATTATTATTTTGCATTCATCCGTTGATTATTTTGCCGTTGTTGTTGATGTTGTTGTTGTTGTTGTTGTTGTTTTGATTGTTGTTTTCTTAATCTTTTAAGAAAAAAAAAAATATATATTTTAATTGAATTTGCTTCTTCTTTTTTTTTTATATAGTAAAACGTTCGATGATTTTTTATTTATTTCTTTACAAATTTTTTAGGCGTAGGTTTTTATTGACGTGGTTTTAGATATTCTTAGTAGTCGTCTTAGTCGTCGTGGTTGTTTTAACAAAAACGAAATTGGAAATTCCAGAGTTTAGCTTAATGTTTGCGTGTGGTTTTTTTATAATTCGAATTTTTTTTTTTTTAAAGTCGTTAATAAGGGTCGGATCAAATCCAGGCACCGACTCGTACGAGAAAATAAAGAAAATTTTTATTTTTTCCGATATTCCAAAAAAAAAAAAATTTTTTTTTACCTGGAATTTATCGTCGTCGAATCGTGGAATCATGAGAGAATCGTAAAAACGAAGACGACATTTTTTCTTTCCCCCTTTTTTTTCGTTGCCATTTTCGTAAAATTATAAAAAAAATTTTTTTTTGTGAATTATTATATACGAAGACGTTAAATAAACGTAAAAATATTTGCGCACGAGCCTTCGTCAATTTATTTAAATTTTTTTTTTAATGCGAATAAATTATTTACACGTGAATTTTTTTTTCCTCGCTTTTCGTTAGAATTGTGGCACGAGTTTTTTTTTTTTAAGATAAGCATCAAAATCACTCTTTAGTACGAAGTTGGTGCCCCTCTCGTTTCCCTCTTCCTTCCCTTTTCCCCGCGCGAGAGGTAAAAATACCTGGAAAAATTCTGGAATAAATTTTCTCTTCGTTTTTTTTATGCTTATGCTGGAAGTCGAGAAAATGCGTTGATTGCGTGGGACGTGGTGGTGCGTCGTGTGATAATTAACCACCATTTTAAATTCGATTTATCGATTATTTTTTTAAATTTTTCTGATTGTTTATCACGCAAAATGTGCGTGAGTGCGTGAGTGAATGCGTCCGTCCACGTGTCGTCTTTTATTTTCATTTAAATTTATTTATTTATATTTAAGTTTTTTAAGACGTGGAAAAAGAAAATGAACGTCGATTTCTTTTTTTTTTTTTTTTCCATCATTCGTTCGTTCGTGAAAACTCGTTTTATTATTAATTTTTTTTACTCTCCAGAAGGAAATTTTATTATTATTATTATTATCATCATCTATCCCCTCTATAAAAATTATTTAAAAAAAAAAAAGAAAAGTAGAAATGGAAAATAAAATGAAAAATTAAAAAAGGAAAAAACAGCTTCTATGTGAAATTAAAAAAAAAAAAAAAATCGTTGACGTTTAAATGGTTTTTTTTTTTATTTTTTAATTATTTTCTTTATATACATATTTGTCCGTGTAAGGATTTTTCGAGTTTCTTCTGCCACGTTATTTGAATTTTTAAACGATTTGTATTTGTATTATATATGTTTTTCATGTGATTATCATTTTTATTATTGTTTTTTTTTTTTTTTTTTTTTTTTTTTTTGAAATCGACCCGGAAAATTCGTTCGATTGTTACGCCTTGATTATTATCATTATTATTATTATTATTATTACGATAATAATTATAATCACGTGATAAAATTTAATCATTTTATTTATTTGTGAAATTCGTTGGTTGGAAAAAATAAATAAATATTCATTCGGTTAAACGTTTAACGTATAAATTTATTTCGTTTAAAAATTATTTTTTTTTTATAATTTAAAAAATAAATGTAATCATTATTATTATTATCATTATTATATCGTTTGTTCGTTGCGGTTGTTTTTGCCGTTGTTTGTTTTGTAGTTTTCCCGGTTGAATATGTCATCGTCATCGTCGTCGTCGTCGTCGTGATAATTGCTTATCGTTCGTGTTTACTTTTCGTCGATAACAATAATAATATTTTGTTACGTAAATCAGTCAATCAATCAATCAATCAATTAATTTTACCGTTATTTTTTTTATCTATGACGTCATAATCGATACAGGAAAAGTTTACGAATTTTTTTTTTTTTTTTTAAATCTCTCTCTCTCTCTCTCTGTCTTTAACGGGATTGTTGTTGTTAAAAAAAGAGGAAAAAATTAAAACTTTATTTATATGCGAACGCGAAAAATATAATAATGATAATAATAATGATAGTAATAATTATTGAGTCGGTTAAATTAACATTTCCAACTAGTAATTATTACAATTAAGTTTTACAAGAGAGAGAGAGAGAGAGAGAAAAAAATAATAGTAATAATAATAATGATAATAACGAGGATTTAAATATAGCTTTGTGTGCTGTTTTTTTTTTAATATTCAATATGGCGTATAATAAAAAAAACGAAAGGTCATATTTTTTGTAAAAACACCCTGAGGCAAGCGATTTTGTTTTTATTTATTTTTCGAAGGACGATCATTTGAAAAAACGCAATGTCGTCGTCTACGCTGCCATAATCATCATCATCATCATCATCATCATCATTTATTAAAATTTTCTTTTTGTTTTTCATCAGACAAAAAAAGAAAAAGAAAATCAAATCGATTTTCTACAAAAATCTGTTTCGTGAAGGTTATCAATCGATTTTCATTAACATTTTTTATTATTATTATTATTAATCATAAGGATAATAATAATAATTATTATTATTATTAATAATAGTTATTAATGTAATTTAATAAATAAGTAAAACACCGGTTATTGTCGAACTTGAACCAGAAAAAAAAAAAAATTAAAATTAAAATAATTACTCGGCCACCGCATATTTGATGATTTCGGTTTGTAAATAAAATCAATCGATTTTTACGTCGTCTGCTAAAAAAAAAAAATTTTCCCCCCACAATTTTCCTTTTGAGTGGAAAACATTAAACAATGGGAGACAAAAAAGAATGTGATAAATGCATTTGTGTGTGTGTGTTTATATTCCGGAAGGAAAGAAAAATGAATCGAATGTTATATGTTAATAATAAAATAATAAATAATAGATGAATTCAAATCGTTTCCATCGACTTCCGCCCGAAGGCTTAAGTTGTAGCGATCGTGTCATTTAAATTTTTCAATATCGTCTTCTTCTTCCACTTTGTTTTTTTTTTTATTCTCAATAGTTCTTGGAATTTATTTTATTCTTTTTTTTTTTTTTTTGCGTTTTTATAAAAATTTTTAATTTCCGGTTGTTGTTATTTTCTTTTCGAGTTGGTATTGTTAGAGGGGAGGGGAGGGAAGAGAGCGAAGGAGAGAGGGAGGAAATACGGTGAAAATTTTATTATTATAATTTTTTTCATTTTTTTTTTTTTAGTTCCGAAAGAATTTTTTAATTGCATTTTTTTCTCTATCATTATTATATTATTATTATTATTATTATCATTATCATTATTATTATGATTTTATCTGAGGAGGTCACGTACCATCATCGTTGTTTTTTTTTTTTTTTGTTTATCAGTCTCAGAATTCCATAACACCTTTTTATGGTTGTTTGAAAAATTTCGTTTCCAAATATGGATTTCATTATTATTATTATTAATATTATTATTATTACGTCCGTAATAAACTGCCAGATTTTGACGTATAATATTTTTTTTTTATTATCATTATCACTATTATTATTATTATTATTATTATTATTATTATTATTATTATTTTAATTAATAAATTTTTTTTTTTTTTTGATGAATTTTTCAGTCTTAGCGAATGCTACTTCGCTGGGAAGGGTGCCGCTTTGGTTCTTCCGCCAAATGAAAGAGTACGACCCGGACGGAGGCTGAGTTCCTCCGGAAGTGACATACAACAACACTTGCAGTCTATGTTTTATCTATTGAGACCCGAAGAAACATTGAAAATGGTAAGTCAAATGATATCGATTTAAAAAAAAGGTCGACGAAACGAATCGTTCAAAAGGAAAAAAAAACGTGGTACCAGTCGCAGGCTAGTACCACGACGCGTATCTTTTTTTTTTTTTTTGCCTTACATCGTTTGAACGTTAACGGTTATCGTCCGCAAAATGCCCGTTTTATTTAATCGTGAAAGAAAAATCACTAATAATAATAATGATAACAATGACACAAAAGACGGTCTATTGCAAAAAAAAAAGGGGAGAGGGGAGGGGAGGGGAATACGTGATGAATGAATAAACCGTGACACGAAAATCGCAATTCGTGAAAAATTTATATAAATAAATAATTAAAATTAATTAATTAAGGACTCCCTTAATAATTATTTAAGGCTAAACGGAAAAGGAAAATAAAAAATTTATTAATTAATCGTTATTATCATTATCATTATTATTATTATTATTATTATTATGATAATAAATAATTTTCTCGGTTTTGGCATTTTTACGTAAACGTTTTCATGTCCTTCATTTTTCCTAAATTTGTTAAATTAATTTAATTTAATTAATTTAAAAAAAAAAAAAAATCGAAAGAGTTTTATTAACATTGACCAATTTTTTTTTTTTTTTTGGGGGGGGCAAGGGGGAAGGGAGGTTTTTACCTTGTAATAAGTAAATAAATCGATTTTCGTCGTGGTCGAAGCAGCAGTAGTGGAAGCAGCCATCAATTTTTTTTGTTTTCATTCGCTCTTCGCACGCGTGTTGTTTGCCATTGCGGAAAATTTCAAAAAAAATTTTCCTTTTCTCTCTCTGTCTTCCAATTCACGAGCTTTACATTAATTTTTATTTGTTTTAAAACATCGAATACATTTTTTTTTTTTAACGTGGAATCAACGAAACATGAAAGCACGATGTTTTTTATGTTTTTATGTTTTCGAGATCGAAAGAATTTTTTGGCCGCAAATAAAAATAAAAAAAAATTTTTTTTATTTTATTTTTCCTTTGAATATCGCCGTGGAATTCGAAATGACAATTTTATTATTATTATTATTATATTTTATTAAAATCCTAAAATTTATTACTTTTTCTTTTTTTGAGGGGTTTCGTCGGTATTTTTTTTTTTTATAAAATTTTTAAAGCTCACAGCGTAAAACCTAAGCGGGACCCGTGAGAAAATAAGTAAAAAGGAAAAAAATTTTATTTCTCTCCTTCTCTCTCTCTCTCTCTCTCTCTCTCTCTTTGTTTTTGTTTGACGGATACGCGGACCTTCCGTAACTGACACCGAGTAAATTTTTCTTCCGCCATTTTCTTTTTTTTTTTTTTTACGTTCTTTTCGTATTTATAAATATTATTATTATTATTAGTTTTAGATTCTCGGTACCACCTCATATATAATTGACACGTGTGAAATTACTTAAAATTCTTTTTACACGTTTCGGAAAATTTATTCGTTTCGAAAATTTTCCACTAACACATTGTTGGGTCAACAATAGGGTTATTTTCTTTCTTTTCAAAACGAACGTTCCAATTAATAGGTTTTTTTTTCAAAAAGTTTTATTTCGTTTGTTTAATTCGCATGAAATGCTCTAATTATTATTATTATTATTTATTAACTTCTTGTGCCAAAGAACTGATTTAATACGTTTATAAACGATCGTAGAGAATATTGTAACCTTCACGAAAAGGTCAAAATCTGATTGAAGGGCGCCATGTGTTCTTTTTTTTCTTTTTTCCTTCAAAGCGTTACCCTTCGCTCTTAAAAAAAAAAAAAAAATTTTAATATTCTCAAGGACTTTGGGTTAAAAAGAAAAAGAAAATTTTTTTTTTTTTGTTGTACTTAAATGACCCTCCATGATGTTTGCGTGTTTTTCAAATTTTTAAAGGTCGCGCGACCGATCAAGGTTTCTTTTATTTATTTATTTATTGGGTTTTACAACGAAAAGGTTTCTCTGGTGGCCTTTTCCGAGTCACACAAAATTATTAAAAATGTTATAAATTTATTTTCCTTTCAGGCTGTGAAACTTGAAAGCGTTCATTCGGGTCGCACGCGATACCTGGTCGTCGTGTCTTGCATCGGTCGTCAAGATGCCGAAGAATGTTGTCTCCTGGGTATAGACTGCAACGAGAAAACAACGGTCGGTCTTGTGCTGCGGGTACTCGCCGATACGACAATAACACTCGACGGTGACGGAGGATTCAGCGTGTGCGTTTGCGGTCGTCAGCACATTTTCAAACCTGTATCCGTTCAGGCGATGTGGTAAGTTCCGATTGATTTTTTTTTCTCTTTTCTTTGAACCTGATCATGCAGGAATTGCCCCGCATCATCATCATCACCATCACGATTTTCTTTTATTCCCTCTTTCCGCGTTTTTCTGCGCTTTTTTTTTTGTTTTATACGCGCGCGTATCGTACCTGTATCTCTCGGCTTGTTTTATTATTATTTGAAAAGCTTAAAGTAAAATGATGATGATGATGATGACGATGATGATGGTGATGATGATGGTGATAATGGTAGTGTTGTCGTATAAAAAGATGAGAAAAAATCATTAAAAAGGAAAAAAAAAAAAACCTCATAATCGAACCTTTTTTATTTTTTTTTATTTTGATGATGTCATTAGCAGACGATGATTACGTATTAATATTTTTAACCTCGAATATTATATTGAGGAAAAAAAAAAGAAAGAAAGAAAGAAAGAAAAACGATGACAAAATATTATGAATCATAAATTGAGAATTATTGAAATTTAATTTTTTTTTTTTAAACGCTACCATTAAAAAAAAAATTAATAATGATAATGATAATAATAATATCGAATGTTTTCTTGTGGTATATTGAATATTTTCGTGCCGAAGAAGATTTATTGATTTGAAAAAAAATTTAATGATTTTTTTTTTTTCATTTTTTTAATCTCTAATCTACAATCTCGCTTTATCCCACGCTAATAAATTATTATTAATAACAATAATAATGAAAATGATAATAATGATGATGATGATAATCGTGAAATTACTTAATGTAAGAAAATAAAATAAAAAATAAAATAAAATAATGGCGTAGTCAATAAAAAAAAAAAAATTTTTTTTTTTTTTTTATGTATTTCTACGCCGTGTGCCGTGAATTATTATTATCATCATCATTATCGTTTTAAAATGAAATTTTTGTTTTTTGTTTTTTTTTTAAATAATTAATTATTTTTCGAAGATCGAGGATTGCGATGGATCGAGAGATCGATCGATCGATTGTTTTTTTTTTTTTTTTTTTTAAAAACGAAATTAAATCATTTTGCATCGAAATTAAATTTTTTTTACGAAAAGTGGCCCCCCTGGGAAATTTTTTTTTTTTTTTACACGGTCAATGTTTATTTATTGTACGTTTTTTTTGTTTTCATTTTTTCCCTTTAAAAAAAAAAAAAAAAAATATTGTTGGAAAATCTCGGTGGAAATTAATTTAAAAAAATAAGGAGGAGGAGAAGGAGAGAAGTGAGGAAGGGGAGGGAAGAAATGATAGAAGAGGAAGGGAAAAGAATGAAAATGAGTTTGAAATATTTTGCAACATTCCTTTATCGATTCGCTTGTAATAAAATAATTTCTAATGTGGGAAGCGTGAAAATATACCGAAAGGATATTTTTTTTTTTTTTTCATTCATTTTATTCTACAATGTAGAATACGCGAACGCACGACCGCACCCACACGCGCACGTACACACTTTTCCAAACGTTGCTTTAACATCTCGTTTAAAATCGTCGAAAACCTTTTATGAACCTTCGAGAGGTTTATCTCGGGGGGAAAAAAAACTAACTCTGGAATTATTCAATTTTTTAAATTATTATTATTATTATTATTATTATTATTATTATTATTATTATTATTATTATTATTATTATTATTATTATCACTTTGTTAAAATTAATGGCGACGTTAGAAGTCGAAAAATTTTTATAAAAACGGCCGGGGAAAAAAAAAATTCGTTTATTTAAGGTTAAAACCAAGAAACGATGCAACAATCGATCGATCGATCGACCGATGGATCGATCATTTTAATTGATTTTCTTAGAATTTATTTTCGTTATTTCGGTTACTAATCGAGCCGCCGGATTGTTGTTGTTATTATTATTATTATTATTATTATTATTATTATTATTATTATTATTATTATTATTATTATTATTATTATTATTACTACTCGAAAAATGTTTTAAACGCATGGTAAATCGTCATTATTGGAAGTCATCGTCATTAGCGGTTGTTGCTTTTATACGATCGTAATGGTTTTTACGTTTTATTATTATTATTATTGTTATTATCATCATCATCATCATTGCACCATTCGAACACGTTTGAACATGAGTTGTGAATGAAATAAAAAAAAAAAAAATTGTTTTTCTCGGGAAGCTGAATTTTCATTTTCATTTTTTTGTTTTTTTTTTTTTTTTTCCCTCCTCGATTGTCAAGAGCCTGAATCAGTTTTTTTTTTTTTTTTTTTTTGTTATGTTGTCGGCTTTATTATTATTTCATAATGAGATTTTCAAAGACACAAAAGATTTTTTTTTTGTATTATGAATTGAATTTCGAGCTTTTTTTTTTACATATATATTAATTTTCATTATTTTTCGGGGAAAACAAACAAACAGAATAAAAACGCGAATGGAGTTTGTTGTAAAACAAACAAACGAAATGCTGTCATTTTCGTTTCTTTTGTTTTGTTTTGTTTTGCCATGATATACCTTTCATATATAAATATATATGTATGATAAAAAAACAGGGAAGCGATAGACTCTAGAAAAAAAAAATTAAGTCATCGATGATTTCTTATTGTGTTTAAGAAAGAACAAAAAAAAAAAAAAAAAAAAAGAAAATGTTACAAGGATGTTGAGGAAAAACTTTAAAAGGTTTTATTTTAAGGCGGGAGAGAAAGAGAGAGAGAGAGAAAGATAATATTCGTTTAAAGGCGTCACGAATAAATAATAATAATAATAATAATAATAATAGTAATGACGAGGACGACGGTATCGATGACGACGACGACGATGACGATAATGATAATAAATTAGGTTATCTAAAAATAAAACGAATGCGATCTCCCAGGAAAATGACCTACAAGTCGAAAGTAGTAGCAATGACTTGACTGACATTAATTCAAAAGGTCATCATCATCATCATTATCATCATTATCATTTCGTCGTCGCGAATTTTTGAGGGTTGAAAACAAACGAATGGATTTTTTTTTGTCGTCACGGTCGTTACATTTTCGTGTTAAAATTTAACGGGATGAATGAAACGAACGAAGGACTTTTTTTCCTTTTTGTTGTTTGCCCTAGTTCTTCAAAGTTAAAGAGAGAGAGAGAGAGAGAGAGAGAGAGAGGGGGGGAGAGGAAATGGCGAGAAAATGAGAGAAAAAAAAGAATATACAAGGATACAAACGGAAACGAAATGATTTTTATTCAAGGGAATTTAATTTAACTTTCCCTTTCTCTCTCTCTCTCTCTCTCTCTCTCTCACACACACATCTTTCGGTTATATTGCTCAAACTCCGTTTGAGAAAAAAAAAGTTAATGTTCCTCATACGCGAATCCGCGTATGGGTTCCCTTAAATGGCGTCGGACAAGTCACACGTGGTGCATGCGCAAAACAAACAATTTTTCATTTCCCTCGATTTGGAAGATCTCCCACACACACGTTTTCTAATATTAGATTGTATATATATATTTTGTTTTCGTCACAGGGAAAACAGTTTCCTTAGTTACAAATATAAAACAACAACACAAAAAAAAAAAAAAAGCGAAGGAGGAAGGAGACAAAAGTTTGAGAAGCAATTGAAGATAGAGGGAGTGTGAGAGAGAGAAAGAGAGACAGACGACAAGACTGTTACATGTTTTATTATTATTATTATTATTATTATTATTATTATTATTATTATTATTATTATTATTATTATTATTATTATTATTATTATCAGTATGGAAATTTAAAAAAGTTTTCGCTGTTTTGCCAAAATAATAATTTTTATAAATTCGCATAAAAATTTGTTTGTTTTTGTTTTGGTTGTCGTTTGTTTTGTTGGAAATTTGCCTTCTTCTTTTTTTCCGGTAGCAGTAGCAGTAGAAAAATAGTCGAATAATTATTGGTTTTAGCCTTTTTACTTTTTCTCGAACTTTCTTTTTCTTTGTTATTGAGAAAAACGTGTTAAAAAATCGAAAAAAAAAAAAAAAAAAAGAAAATTGAAAAAGTTTTTTTCGTTACACTTTCATTGCGACGTCGTCGTGTCGCCATTGTTCAAACGTGATGACGACGATTGTATTTTGTTGTTGTCGTTGTTGTTTGTTGTTATTATTCGTGTAACAATACAAAGAAAAAAATTTGTTTAAATATTTATTTATTTAGGCTTATTCTTTCATGCCTCGGCGCATCATTCCATACCTTATTTGAACTTGAATTTTTTTTTTTTTGCGAGTCCAGTCAAATATTTTTCTTATTATTATTATTATTATTTTTCTAAATTTGATTTTTACGCTGCGTATATTCTTTATTTATATTTATTATCAATTATTCTCGCAAAAAAAAAAAAAAAAACGCACGGGTTTGACCTTCGAAAAAAACTCATCTCGACGAGAACATTCACTCTTGTCCGAAGTTCACAAAGCAACGTTTTTTTTTTTTTTTTTTTTTGTTGCTTTTTCTCTTGGTGAAATCATCTTTTTGTGTGTGCGTGTGTGCGTGTGCGAAAGATGAAAAGATACAAACAAACGCGTCAAGGTTGTTGTCGTTAATTACTTTGAAAATCATTACTTATGAAAAACGAACGTTTTTTAAACATACACAAAAAAAAAAAAAAAATTTTTTTCTCATAGAGTTTTAAAGTTTGTGTATGTTTTTCGTTTTGCAAATGCATAACCGTTGCGTCAAGGTATCGTCACAGGGGGGTGGGTGGGGGGAGGGGGAGGGGAAAGAAATATTAATAAAACTTGATGACCGTGGATTAAATAAAAAAAATTTGTCGCGAATTTACGTATTTTTTTTTCTTGTCGTCTGTCGTAGGTGAATGGCGTGTGACTGTGTGACATTTAAATTCTGGGGGGAAGGGAAGGAGGAGGGGAAAGAGGGGGGAGGGGTTTAAATTTTCTTTTGGTAAAGTGTTTTTTTTTTTTATCGGGAAGGACGCTCGATGCATCACCGCGGATTTCCTTCGTCGTAATTAACAAATTAGGTTAAATACAAATTATTAGTGTTCATTTCCGGTCTGAGGAGTAAATTCGGGAGTCGGTGGCGTGTAATTAACCGCAAAGTGATTATTTAAAACGGAAACGGATTTTGCGGATTTTTTTTTTTTTTTTTGCGTTTTTAAGCAGGTTACTTACGAAAGAGTATAAAACTTTCTATTTGCGAAACATAGAGAGAAGAGCTTGTTTGTGTTTGTTTTTTGTTGTTGTTGATGTCATTAAATGTTCTAATAAGATTTGACTGTGAGGAACAAAAAAAAAAAAAAAAAACAAAGAAATGATTTATTTAAAAAAAAAAAAAAAAAGAAGTAAATTGTTGTAAATTTAAGAAAAAAAAAAAGAAAATTCCCATGGAATCGTTTTCGATTTGCTTAGTCATTCCCCCGCCTCAGCCCTCCCCTTCCCCCTTTTCTTTTTTTTAATTAAATAAATGAAAGTGTATCATCATCATCAACAACAACATCGTAATTTAAGTTAAAACGGAAGTAAATTGACGGGTTTGTTTATTGCTTTTGTTGTTGTTGTTGTTGGTGACGGCGTTCCCGTTTTTTTTTTTTTTTCAAAAAAAAAACTAATTAATTAAAAATGTTTTCGATTAATCGAAAATATGATTTAAGAGATGAAGACTCGTTTCGTTTTTGAAAAAAAAATGTCACCGCGTCGATCATCAATTTTTTTTTTTTAATTTATTTAATCGGCGGCATTTTAAAATTAAACTTTGTTAATTGACAGAACTGAAAAAACGTTTGTATGTTGCTCTATTTTCGACAGGGGAGTAGTAGTAGTAGTAGCAGTAGTAGTAATATAGGTCTAACACACATATCACTGACGTCGAAAGATTTCGACCTTGTTAGTAACGCGTTAAATTGACCCAGTGCACTTTGAAAGCAAAACAAAACAAAACAAAAAACAAACCGCCATGTTGGAACCATTATTATTTTTAAAGACACGATTTGTAGCAGAAGACAAACACCCCGCGCGCCGCACACATATTTACTCTTTTTCTAGAGATTTCTATGAAGTTGTCAATGCGTGAACTTTTATTATTATTATTATGGTTACTCTTAAACACGACAAGGCTCTTATTTGTCGGGGTTTTTAAGCATTTATTCCAGGTTTCTACCCGATTCCTTAGGGACAAATACTCGAATTTCGGTGGTGCTACTTATAATATTTTCCGAAGAATGTGGGCCGTCCCACATAGTGCGATTTCCTGGATGTTCTTATTATTATTATTATTATTATTATTATTGTTGTTGTTGTTGTTGTTGTTATTATTTTAATTCAACGCGAGATTCCATGCTTGCACTTGTAGGAGTTTTATTTCCAAAATCCTACCCGATTCCTTACGAATAAATGTTTCGATATTAATTTTTTCCTAGATTTTTCCAGAGTATTCTCCAGTCTTATCCAGACTTTTCCAGTTTTCTCCAGATTTTCTCCAGACTTCTCCAGTTTTCTCCAGGATATTTTTAGGCTTCTCTAGGCTTATCTAGACTATTCTAGTTCTCCAGTTTTCTCCAGACTTCTCCAGTATTCTCCAGAATTTTTTTCCAGGCTTCTCCAGTCTTATCCAGAGAAACCTCTGTAATCTTCTACACAGCCTTTCTAAACTTTGTTTCTAAACTTTTCCAAATTTTCTCGGGTTATTATTATTATTATTATCATTAGGATTTGGCGTTGTTATCAAAAAAAAGGAAAATTTTCATCGAAGATGAATTAATAATTCTAAAAATCTTTTCATCGTCGGTTTTTCTTTCTTTCTCTCTCTGTCTCTCTCTCTCTCTCTATGCCAACCACACTGAAAACTTTACCGAATACGTCAAGGCCATGAGAATGAGTTTTCTCTCTCTCTCTCTCTCTCTCTCTCTCTCTCTCTCTCTCTCTCTCTCTCTCTCTCTCTCTCTTTTTCTTGCATTGGCTCGAAATACAAAACGCCCATTTTTCAACCTGAATTTCCAGCCTACTGGAATGCGTATGGAAGAAAAGAGCAGTTAGCAATAATGGGAATCCCTATGTATGGTTGCCCCTCATCATCATCATCATCATCATCATCATCCTCTTCAATTACGATACCGCGTGCGTGCGTGTGCGTTTGTGTCTTTTTCTGGTTTAAACAATCGTCGTTTTTATTTATTTATTTATTTTTTTCATCATGTTATTATTAATTGCAAGAAAAGAAGGAAAAAAGATGTTTTTCTCTCTCTCTCTTTTTCGTACGGTTGAAATCATTTATTAATTTGCTCTTATTTTCGGTACCGAACTCCCACGTGAGCCTTTTTAATTTTGGAGCGGAAAAAAAAAAGATTTTTTAACTTAATCGTGCAATTAAGGAAACCTTAAAAAAAAAAAAAAAAAAAATTATCAGGACCATATCCGGAACGATATTAAATACTTATTATTATTATTATTATTATTATCATCATCCTCATCATGTTTTTATTGGCTTTCGAGATAAACAAAACTCTTCGTCGGTATTGTTGCTCTTTATCTCGAATGATGAAAAGCGAAAAAAAAAAATTTTTTTTCGAATCCTGAAAAATTTTACGTACCTGCCACGTGTAAATTTCCTCCAGGGGGGATAGAGAGGGGGGAGGAGGAATTCCCTGGACGAATATTTAAAATCGTTAGGAGTATGTGCGGAATTTAAAAAAATTAAAATTTCGTTCCAGTTTTTTATTTTATTTTATTTTTTTTTTAAATATTTCCTTAGCAAAATGAAATGTAAGTAAGTGACGATGATGATGATAATAATGATGGTTATGGTGATGGTGATGGTGGTGACGATGGTGGTCGCGGCAAACTTCTTTTTTTCCACAACGAAAAAGTCGTTTTCCTTAGCTTAAAGATGAAAAAAATTTGAAAGTTTACCAGTCTCGCTTCATCATCATCCTCATCATCATCATTTTCTCTTAAATTTTTAGCTCATCTTTTATTTTTCTATTAAAAAACAAAAAAAATTTCGTAGTATTTCATATATGGAAAATCAAGTGAGTGAGACAGAGAGAGAGAGAGAGAGAGAGAGAGAGAAAACAGTTTAATAAATTCGCACGAATAAATAATAAATAATAATTTATGTGGCGACCGATTGGCTGCGTTTGTTTCGTACGATGTGATTCCCCCCCCCCCGCCCGCGTCGTGGAACCAGATGATGTGGAAAACGATTCCGACCGTACCTGACACTGATTCGAAACCGCACAAAAAACCGCCAAAAAAAAAAAAAAACAATAACCTTTGAACATTGAGACATTGAATGTTTTTTAACATATGGAGGATATTAAGAGGTTGAATCGTTTTAGAAAAATTTTATTTACAAAAAAAAAAAAAAAAATGTCGATAGCATTAAATATACAGGTTTTTATGTAAAAAAAAAAAAAAAAAAAAAAACTTGCATAATGATTTTAATAATAATAATGATAATACCTTTCACATTTTTTTTTCTTTTGAGGAATCCATTTTATTTTGTAAAAAAAAATTTTTTAATAATTTTCCGTGGAAAGAGAAAAATTTCGAATCGAATTGAAATTGTTTGAATGCTGCTGAGTAACGATCGATATTTATGTTGTTATCATCATCATCATCGTCATCGTCATAGTTTAATAATATTCCCGTGACTTCCGGTTGGATTGGCGAAATTTAAATTAGCCGTGAAATAACTTTTCGAAATTTAATTTCAGTTTAATTTTTTTTTTAAAAAAAACTTTCCAGGGTCGAATCGAGGATTAAAAAAAAGAAATAATAATGATATTTAAAACTAGTTTAAACATTTTCGGGTGCGGCTATTTCTTTTTTTTTCGAAATTTTTCAAATTTTAACTTTTCCGGAGTTGTGATAAAGAGGGAGGGGAGGGGGTATATTTTCCACGATTGATTTTATTATAACATGAAAAATTTTCAAACGATTTGATAAACATGATGAAAAGTCTGCACGTCGTTTCTGCCCCCCCCCTCAAAAAAAAAGATGATGAAGACACGTTTATTTCCGTAATCGGAAGTTAATAAATATAAATCCATACCTGGGCGAACGATGAACACGTTTTTAAAATGAAATAAATTCAGGTTCCTTAAAAGAAAAAAAAAAAAAATTGACGTGGGGTTATGGCGAACAATTTAAATTAAAAAAAATTTTTTTTTTTTTTTGTCTAAAGAAAAAGAAACGAAAGAAAACAAAATGGTGGCGTACGTACAAATACCGATTTTCTTTCTCTCTCTCTCTTTAAAGGTGGTTTAATTCCAAGGTTTTTTTTTTTTTTAGTTTAACGCAATCGATAGCGTGGCATTGACCTCTTATCGAATTCACTAATATTACGTTTCAACCCTCCATTTTTTTTTTTTTTTTTAAAATTACCATCCCTCGCGATACGTATAAAATAATTATATTAATTATACTTTAAGTTTTGTGGGGAGGATGGGAAGGGGGAAAAAAATCACGTAGTCGATATGTGAAGGTAGTTAGTTACCAAAGGATTATGTAATAATAATAATAATAATGGTGTCGATATCATCGACGTCCGATCATGCAATCTTCGAATGCATTGCACACGCACACGCACTAGTCAGACATTTTTTTTTTTTTTTCTTAGTCCTTTATTATTAAATGGAAGTTTTTTTTTTGTTTAATAATTTTCAGGTCTGCCCTTCAGACCATTCATAAAGTAAGTTCGAAAGCCCGAGAGCAAAATTATTTTCTTGGAGGTTTGACGCACGATTGGGTCAGTTACTATGAGCAAAGAATCGAATCCGATAGATCGTGTCTCAATGAGTGGCACGCAATGGACAATATCGAATCCAGGAGGCCGCCATCTCCTGACTCGGTGAGTCCATTTAAACCTTTTGTTCTTTTTTGATTTTAACGATTGGATGGTTTTTTATTTTTCTTGAATTTTTTTTATTTTTGGAAATCAGGTGCGAACGAAACCTCGCCAAAGGGAAGAAACAGAGCGCGTGATACGTTGCACACTCAAAGAAATAATGATGTCCGTCGATTTGGACGAGGTTACTTCTAAATACATTCGAGGACGACTGGAGGAAGATTTGGACATGGATTTGGGTGAATTCAAACCCTTTATCGACGAGGAAATGCTGACGATACTCGGACAAATGGACGCGGCCACCGAAATATTCGATCACGTTTACTTGGGCTCTGAATGGAATGCATCGAATCATGAGGAACTTCAAAAAAATGGGTCAGTCAATGGAAAATGGAAGTCTTTCTTATAATGACACCCTAAGCATTTTAATTTTTTTTTTTTTTTACGTGTTCATTATTTACAGGGTGCGCCATATTTTGAACGTTACCAGAGAAATTGATAATTTCTTTCCCGGAATGTTTAATTATTTAAATATTCGTGTTTACGACGACGAAAAGACTGATCTCCTTAAGCACTGGGACGACACATTTAAATATATATCGAGAGCCAGAGCGGAGGGTAGCAAAGTACTGGTTCATTGTAAAATGGGAATCAGTCGGTCAGCAAGCGTGGTCATAGCTTACGCGATGAAAGCTTACAATTGGGATTTTAAAAAAGCGTTCGAATACGTCAAGCAAAAGCGGAATTGCATAAAACCCAATTGTAGTTTCATGTCTCAGTTGGAAACATATCAGGGGATACTGGATGCGATGAAAAATAGGGAAAAACTTCAAAGATCTAAATCAGAAACGAATCTTAAAAGTCCCTGTTTTGTCCCCAAAGAAAATTCCGCAGCGAAAGAAAATCAAGAGAAAAGAATGGAAAAAATGAATTCGTCTCTTTTGACCGTTGATTGGACGGAGACTTCCGGTACGGAACTTGGTAGAGTCGGTAGCAGACCGAAATCTTGGTCGCCTGATAATTCTGTTGCATCGATTCTCTTCATCGATCAGGCGCCGGGTATGAATTAACCTCCTTAAAAAAATTTTTTTTTCTATTTGCAATGGGAATAATTTATATTGCTTATTGAAACCCCCCCTTTTTTTTTTTTAGGTCCGACTTCCATGTCAATGGAATACCTAAATTCGGATGACAAGCCTGATATAAATCTATCCCCACAAGGATCTTCGGCTGAAATATGTCCAACCTGCAGAGCAAAAATTACTCAGGATGAACTCCCGTGTAAGGAATGCTTTAAAGTTACCACCGTCAAATTGCAGGAAGTTAGAAATCACAACAGTCATTTGAGAATCCCTTGTGAGAACGGTCAAACGTACAGTGTTTCGCAAAATAGAATCGTTTATCTACCCGGATCCACTAATGATGAATCAGATTTTGTACCGTATGTTAAAAATAGGGTCATAGAATTTGAATCGCATTCGGGGGGACCCATCTTTGACGCCCTGAGTCTTAATAAAAAGACTCAATCAGACAGAAAAGGACTTGTTTTAAATCTGACGTCGCAATTCGAAACGAGCTGTTCCAAGTCAGGGTCACCTACGGACGGTGAAAAATCCGCGGAGACCAGTGACGTCAAATCGAAATATTCTCAAATAGTAAATTCAACTCTAGTCAAAGAAGAAATTTGGGATTCGGGAGAAAAGAAACCGGAGGAATCTCCGAACAGTCAAACAGTTTGGACTTCGACTTCTGAACCTACGACGGATGGTGATATCGAGTTACCGCTATCTGAAAACAAAGCCGGTAAAACCAGGCGAGAGGGTGATCCATTTTCAGATAAATTAGATCGCGTGTTTGACCGTGAAGAACGAAAACAAATCAAAACGACGGTGCCGGCGGTGGTTTCCGTTGTACCTGTCGCGGTACCCGTTACGAATTCGGAAGGAGGCTCTACCGAAAGTCCTTCGCGACAAAATTCTTGGAGTTCTTACGACAGTGCCGTGGTTTTGGGTTTTCAGGGTGAACCCAGGGAAGCTCCATCGCGGCAAAGTTCTTGGGGTTCGGGTGATATATCAGGTGTTCCGGGCGCTTTACCTTCCAGAAATAGTTCGTGGGGATCTTACGATATGAAACCCACGGTGATAAACGTTAGTGAAAAAGTAGATAAAACCGAAGAACTTAACTTTGGAGGATTGTTCACATTTAACAAAGACGTTCCTTGGAATCCCGGAACCGTTAAACGCACAAAACAAAAGTTAGAAGAGGTTATACAAGTGAAAGAAAACGGCGCAACGACCGAAGTTGAATCTTCTTCTTCTTCTTTTCCTTCTTCTTCTTCTCCTCCTAAAATTGAGATCTCAGTATGCAATTTAAAACTTCACGGGCCGAAGCCTTACCAATCTCCAGTTCTTTCCAAAGATCTCAAAATTTCTTCTCAAGACCCCTCGGAGAGTCCTAGCTTAAATTTAGTTCATTATCAAAGTACTCCGAGTCTGTCACTCCAGCCCTCACTCGAAAATACTTCCGTCTCTGTCGACAAAATGACTGCATCCCAGCCTAACATAACATTTCAACAAGATACGCTTAACACTTTATCAAAAAGCACCGACCAACTTTCCCTCACTCCCGCGAGTGCGACAGACGATTGTTTAGATCATAAGCAATCCGAAGGTCAAACCACGACGGGTCTCAATCAATCCTGCTCCGTTCGACAACAAAAGCAAGTGTTGGAGAATTTGACGAATAAATGTTGCGTTTTACCCAAGCGTTGCATAAGCATGGAAGAATCCGTTATTGGGACGGAGGTGTCGAAACCGGATGCGGAAGCCCAAAAAAGCGTTTCGGGATTGGTTCAAAATTTAAAAAAAGAATTCGAAGCAAAATCCGTGTACAAAAACAATGATAAGACATCATCCGACAGTGAGAATTTAAAACAGTCTTCTCCCGTGGGCAACAATCACCAAGATCCGTGTCTCGTCGTGAATTCGTCCGAAGACTTGTCCGTTAAAAATCTAGTCGGAAAATACGAAATAAAAAAGAATAAGCACAGGGAAAACGAATCGATGTCGAATAAGAAATCCCACAACATGATTTTTCCGAGCCGTAAACCCAAATTGGACATGGTGTCCCAGCCTCAACTCAAAGTCAAACATTCATCTCTTTTCTTGCATAATTTCAAAAATAGCACGACCGGAGAAAAAGTATTAGTTTTAGATAGGCCTCCGGCGAAAAGTCCATCGCCGAGCGTAGTTGTCGCGAGCGTCGTTGCCAAAGCCGCGAGTAAAAAACAACAGGGTAAAACCCATCCGTTGGCACACCTGACCATCAATCCGAGGCACAGTAACGCCGTGTACAACACCATGTGATAATTTGATTTTTTAGAAATAGAGAAAGAAAGAGAGAGAGAGAGAGAGAAAAACAAAAAAAAAAAAAAAAGAAAAAAGAAAGAAAAAAAAGGCTGTTTCGGTCATTTACGGGCCCCCCAGCAGGAGGAATTTTCTTCTTCTTCTTCTTCTTCTTCTTTTTCATCTTCTTCATCTTCTTTACAAATAAAACTTCGACAATTTTTATTTTTTATTATTATTATTTTTCATCCTCATTTTTTTCCCCACGATATTCATCCATTTTTTTTTTTTTTTTTTTTCAATCCAAGAAGTCCCGATTCCCTCCCTACACGCCTTGATTTATTTATTTATTATTATTATTATTATTGTTATCGTTATCAGTTGGAAACGAAGGA